ACACACACACACACACACACATATATATATATATATATATATATATATATATATATATATAAGACGAATATACATAAAAAACGAATACACACACGCACACACCTCCTTGTGCGATGGCAAGTGCCCTGATCTTATTTGCGATGCTCATATCGGCGTCGTGTGCGCTCTGCATGTTCTTGAGTTTGTTATGCAGATTATTCTCGCGATGGGACAGTTCAATGGCCCATTTCTCCAGCTCATTCTGGCGCCTTTTGCCCTCGTCCTCAGCGGAGATGCTTGGAACTTTCTGTGTCGTCGTGGCTGCGACCAGCATTTCTTGGTTCGCTGTAGATAGATAAACGGATATAAATAGAATGTAATAATACACGTTTTCTCAAGTCGCCGGTTGAGCAGAATTGAATAAGTTTCTTATTCCCGTGTCAAGTGTGTGGGGTGAATTATGTGGTGTGTAGGCCTGTTGAGGCAGTAGAGAAATCCTATCCATGCCCTTTCAGCTCAGTGAAAGTGTGCTTGTTATCGAGGTTGCAGACCAATGTGTTTATACACTCTGGCATAAACGCTGTATGCATACTCTATGACTGTAGTGTACACACACGTTGTCTTGCGCATGGACAGCCCCAACGCCACCCAACTGCTCACCTTCTTCGATATACTTCTTTACCGCAAATCGATTTAGTCTCATTGCGAAATGCTCCGCGGTCATCGTGCCCAGAGTCTGCTCACTCCCGATCCCGCGTCGTTCAATCAAATCCAGTGTTCTATAAATAGAGCCGAAATCTGGCCTCCTCATTGGTTGCTGCTCCCAGCATTGCTTCAGTAGATTCGTGAGGACAGTTGGTGTCTGTGCAGGTATTGGAGGTCTGCGATTGTTTTCCAGAACATTCCGCGCGATATCGAAAGGGCCCACATCCGCAAAAGGAATAGCGCGGGTTACGAGTTCCCACAGAACAACTCCAAACGAGTACACATCTGCCGAGAGTGCGTAGCCCTGACCATCAGACCTAACAACAGACATGGCGGGTATAAAAATAGAACAAGTAGTCTCGGATATAAGTAGATATAGTGAATACGATGGTCATACGCAGGTAAACGTGTGTGAGAACGTGCTGAGAAGAATAGTAAGAGACCCACAGATATAGTGAATATATATATATATATACATATATCAAGAAGCTTTCTATATGCTATACGCCCGTCCGTATGCAATGGCTCACGTACCTCCTCTGACTACACTATACGAATGTACAGTCATCTTCGCCTACCTGAGTATCTCTGGCGCTGTCCAGGCCAATGTGCCCGCGAAGGTCTGGAGATTGGCATGGTCTACCTCTCGGCTCGTCCCGAAATCACACAATTTCAGTGAAACCGGGATAATCCGGCCGGAATGAGAGTGCGCTGATGCTAAAAAAAATATTTTTCGCCAAGAAAAAGACGCGTCCTTTAGTAGACAGCATAGCAGCTGACCTGAAATCACAAAAAGAAGCCAGGGCCAAAGTGCACACGTTTGCTCAGGCATTGGTCTATACTGAACACGCGTGCAATCGCACCCCACACATGGGCTAGGGCACATACACTCTAGCTTAACGCGTACACAAGCATAGTTTGCACAAGATCATACACTCACGCGACGAATACACAAAGGTAGCAGTTTGTATATATATGTTTAAATAGCTTGATTACGCCATGTACGATCCAAATTAAGCGTACAGAAATACAGCAGTTTACATATACATAAACATACGGTACACGTAGGCATTAAAATATCTTGCTAATGTCAAGTACACCCTAGCGTACGTATACAGAACATGGCAGCTGACGAACAAGTACACATGGCTTGATTAAAACGCATACAGTCAAGCTTGTGTGTACAGAAACATAGCTCGACTACGCCACATCCACACTATCGCATATATTCGTAAACAAAGCTTGTCCAAGACACTCACATTCACACACACGTCTACATCAACACATCTCTCCATCAACAAACAAACGATTACCTACCCGAGGCTGCGGCCAAGAGCACATTCGCTGACTTGAGATCACGGTGAATGACTGGGGGAGTGCTCTCATGCAGATATCGCATGGCACTGCATATGTGTAGGGCCCACTCCAGCACCACACTCAGAGGTAGCAGCAGAGACTTATCTCTGATCCATGTGTTGTCAATCTGAACGGAGGGAAAGGTGTGTGCATAGACGCCTTGGTTAGGATCAGGTGCGAGTAACGTGTGTGTGTGTATATAAAACCCTTGAGTAGAACCAAGACCGTGTAGTGTGAGTGTACGTAAATAGTACCCTTGGTTAGGATCAGATGCGTGTAGTGTGTGTGTGTGTGTTGTGATGGGAACAAGGCAAAGTGCTACGGACTCAGAAGAGTGCGTCTACAACTAGAGTGAGCGGAGAGGTAAGAACAATGCATTAAAAAGCATGGCACACTTATAGTACTACACACAGACGGCATAGTACGTCTTTGTATACACAACTCCTCTGAGCAGCAACGTTGCCGGCTATGCGAGCTTCTGTTTCGGCGTATTATACCAAATAAGTTCCAAACACCACCACCAGTGGGAGAGGCCCTATGGGCATAGAACTCCCACAGCATGTCCCGTCACCTTACATCCATTCATGTTTGCGCAGTCGCGAGCTCGGTCTTAGTTCGGTACATGTAGAAAAGCTCGCAGTGTCTGGCTGATATAAACTAGTGTGCTCGTGGCGTATGTATTACTGTGTCGTACTATGTTCGTATCTGCGTCATGGAGTGTGCATAGTGTGCCAATACACGAGGATGCGTACTATACTTTCGTAGGGTGCTCGTATGCGATTCCACGGGAAGCGCTCGTGCGTGATTGAAGCTGTATGACTGTGGCACAGCCAGCCAATATTTAGGATTCAATCTTAATTTAAACATGGATCTATGTGGGGACCTTCGCACGCTTATCACGACACATTGAGAGCACACTTACAACACTTATAAGGTGTGTGAAATACACTACTTTGCTCAGAAGAAAGTCTTAACGACACTAAGTGAAACGCAACACTTTGCCAAAGCACGACACCTACACAAAAACAACTCGAATTCACACACCCGAGAGGCCGCCAGGTGGATTTCCAGATCCTCGTGGCCAATAGTCCCATGCAAAGTTTCGTACAGCGACCCATATTTGGCCAATTCTGAGATACCCGGTATAGAAATAAAACTATATGGTGAGCAAGTGCAGTATTTGGTTGACATGGAAACAGTTCATACTGACCTTCATATCTATCATTGGGTGCTCATCCACGTACATGGCACATAACTTGATAGCAAAATGGACCTCTCATATCTGTCAGCATGTATAACCGTATTGATTCGAGCATAACGCTGCACTATCGATGTTCTACCCACAACATTCTCTCCTGTCCGTGTGTCATGATATACACGCAACTATACAACAGTGACCGCCAAGGCACAGGCGCCAAGCACAGTGGCTCCCGTCGGCAGTTTGAGTATCGGACAAATGAGGAGTTTCAAAGTTTAATACCGGATACACACAGTAAATGTAGGTAGTTCCATATGTCGCCCACATCTCGTGGAAACCATCCCAATCCTGCAATTTAGGCCGGACAAAGTTCAGCCTGCAGTATAACTATAGATTACTCGAGTCTCTGATCTTAGAATATCCATGACCGAAACACACGCTGAAATATGTAACAGATGATGCCCACAAGCTCACTGTCTGGCTATCCACTCTGGTTGGTAGTGCCAGAGACAAAGCCGAAGCACGTGTGGACGATAGAGACAACCCCCATCACTACACAGAAGGCACATCCAAGTATACAGCCACGTGTGTGACTACGATGGTAAAGCTAGCACCACTCTATAAGTGGTAGAACCATAGTAGTAACTCTCCGCCTGGGCTCATCTCGAAGGGAATCCAGATCGCAACGACAACTAGAGAACAAGCACAAGACACATGATACGAGTGTACCTTTCAGCATCAGTTGCAAGTCACACGTTGTCCAATTAACAAGTATGTGACTGTCACAGATTCTGAAGACATGGGGTGGTGTCCATCGCTATCTCTTAAATGAAGTCATACCGCTGACAATCCATACATCATCGGCTGTATGGCAGACGCCGAAGAGTCGTATGATGTGCTCGTGATCGAAATCGGAGTGAAGTTCTGCCTCGGCCAGGGCTATATGACTATTCCGGCTACAAAGTGCATGTGATATGATTAAATAAATACATGGCAGTGTATTGATATGTATCAGAATAATATAGAAGGGTGAACGAGGGGAAGATGGAGATGTGCTTCAGAAACAAACCATAGCTAGAATGAAGGCTAGAAAGCTCCATATACCCCGGTATTAAACGGTATGCGTGCTCACCCATATGCTGGTCCTCGTAGAAGGAACAGTTGTAATGATAAAAAATTAACGTTGCAGACGAAACTATGATATATATATATATATATATATATATATATATATATATACATACGTAGTATACACACACAACACACACACACAACACACAACACATATATATATATATATATATATATATATGTATATATATATGTATATATGTATATATATATATACGCACAGAGGCATATACAGTAAACATACGTACACATGTATATGCACATGCCCATTTTCGAACAAATGCCTATCTATTAATGGATGTATTTACGCACGCGAATATAGACACTGCTATAAATGACACATATGACTAGTACAGAGCTCCACATAAGCCTCTGCAAAGCAAAGATTTTTCAAAAACTTTTAATTTATCACGCAATGCTCATCCTTGTGTTCACAAATTCCCTAATTATAAACACGCCTGATGTAACACGTCTAATGTAATAGCAGTACACTATGCAAAACCCATACGGCTGCTATACTACGTTATACTTCACAAACAACTTAGTAGCCACGTGACGGTGCGATTACCTGTGAATGCACTTGATGGCCACGTCACTACTGCAAAACTTCCCTTCGTACACTATTCCGAAGGATCCATTTCCTATCCTCCTGTTGATGGTAACCTCCTTCGCATCGATATGGGGCAATCTCATAGTGCTGTTATTCGTCGCGTCGTACCTTAATGCCCAGATGAGTGTGGAATTAGTTGCTTCATAGCTTATTGCACTAATATATGGGGGGCGGATATATAACAGATCATTGGATATTGCTGTATTAATGCCAGGAGAATAAGTTAGCACTATATTTCGCGACCGTTTAATAGGCGTAAGTCATACATTATGTAATAACGAGCTATATTTTCAACATACATAGACCTAGCGGGACCTATATAGATGTATATATTTTACATAGAAATGTATGTGTATATAAATACCACGACTCACATATAAACGACCATGACTCATCCATATCCACGAATATACGCACTCGTATCATGCTGGTAAAATGCCAAATGTGTAATATACTACTCCATATGTGAGGATATATTTCAAAGGCAATGTTTTAGTACATATGCAAGTATAGAAACGTTTCCGACACATTGTGTGTCGGTTACTATCAGAACAAAAACAGTCCAAATACAGATCTATTCCAACATCAGTTTATATATGTGTATATTAACTTGTACATCATTAACAGCTATGTACATCATCATGGTAAACAGTAAACACAGGCTATATAGTGAACAGTGAACACAGGCTCTTGGTAGAATACATAAGATCGTATGATTCATGTCTTATGTTGAACAAGCCCCTGGAAGTTAAAAGCAATACACGCATATTCACGTAAAATATCGGAATATATATATTAATATATTTATAACGATCTGATCTAATTGTCTCTATCACGCCTTCGTAGGTGAGGATGATTGCAATTGTCCGCACATGCTACTGTTGTTAATAGGGATGACTTATTGAGATACGAGAAACTATGCTTTGTCTAAATAAGTCAGGTATATTCAAATAGCTCATGAGCAGCGCTATACTAGAACGGCATAGTATTATGCATACTTCATGTAAGTGTTCATCTCTCTCGAATAAGAAACAGAGCTTTTGTCGCACACTTGTACTTAATAAATATATCTACTCATCATATACACGCATATACACGCTAACGTATACGTGCAATACCCACGCATTCACATACACGTGTACAAATAATGTCGGCCATAAAGCGCAAATTCCAATACTTTGTAAGGCGGTATGATATGATCCGTATCACCACATTTGCCGGTATTGCCTGTGGGTGGTTGACCTGTTGTCTCGGTATACTGGTGCTTATCACCACACAATTCGTAACATCGAAGATTGGACCGGAACAGAGCTTGACGCCCGGTGAGATGAGTCTAGGTAGGGGTATTAGAGTAAAGCTGGCCTATCAGGCTAAAAACATTTCGTTGATATATGCATTTGCATGGAGCGTCTGCACATTGTATATGTGTTTCGAAATATATATACAATTTAATTCCCGCAATCATAGGGAGGGAATGAAAACTCATTCGTCTTGTTATGTAAACACACACACACACAAACACACACACACACACACTAATACACACACAAC